AATCATCTTTGTTGCTCTTCTCCGTACTCTCTTCAAACAATGTCCTTGGGTAAACACAAAGAATAGATCCTCAAATATGGTTTTTTGTTATTGTTGTTATTGTTCAATTATTTAGCTAGGTCTCCTTTTGCCTTTGAGTTTTCACTTAAAAGAACCCAGATCCTTTGCCCTCACACGGGACGCATAAACAAACAGTTTCTTGTTGACTGGGGCAAGCTCAATCCTCCATCTTCTGATGTTCTAAAGTTATTTTGGGTCTCTGCTACTATCTAGTCTGCACTGTGGACCAAATGGGAAGTCCTGCTGGGAGGGGCTGTCCATTATTGTGCCTCTACAGCGCAAAAAGAAGAGTTTTTCCACTGGTAAAAAGCACAGTTTCCCACAATGCACTCTCAATGTAGTTAATTATAATTACAGACCACAGCAAAAAAAAACATCTCCTTCCCCAAGCATCAAGCACGGTGTAAGTGTCTCTCTGTAGTCTTGCAACCCCACTCTCCTACAACGTTGTAAATTGAAATCTATTTCTCCCAACAGGATGGAACACCTTTTACAAAATGTTATTTTTGCAGCCATCGGCAATTTTCCTTGTCCTCTTCCCATAAAATGCCTCTGGAGGGGGTGGGAAGAGTGAAGCATTGCAGGGAAAATGATCCGAGGCCCCCCAACTCATTAAAACACACATATACTACATTAGCGGTGATCTACAATACAATACTGGGTTTATGAAACATTTTAATGAACACCAGGAAGACATACAATAGTTATTGGAGCCGTTATAGTTTAATTTAGAATGGAATAGAATAACAGAGTTGGAAGGGACCTTGTGGGTCATCTAGTCCAACCCCCCACCCAAGCAGGAGACCCTACACCATTTCTGACAAGATGGCCGTCCAGTCTCTTCTTGGAAGCCTCCAGTGATGAAGCTCCCACAACTTCTGGAGGCAACTTCTGTTCCATTGGTTGATTGTTCTCACTGTCAGAAAAATTCTCCTTATTTCTAGGTTGAATCTCTCCTTGATCAGTTTCCATCTGTTATTCCTTGATGCAGGGTGAGTTGCCAAAGCTAGGAAGTGGTGTGTATGTCTGTGTGTGTGTGTGTGTCATTTTGGGAATTACAATGTTCCAGAGAGTCCCAGAGGAACATGTCTGCAGCTGCAACAGGTTACAAGAATGGGACTCTGACTCATTCAAAAGACTGGATGGTAAATAATTTAAAGTTAGGCTGCCAAAATGAGAATTCGTCGCCGAGCATAAAAGGACGCAATACCAGGGGTAAATGAAAATGAAAAGAAGAGGGGATTGGCTTATTTTCTTGGGCACCAGAGGGCAGGGCAGAAGTAATGGGTCGTTCTGGGGGGAGGGGGGTCCCCTGCCCCCAAATGGCTTGCAGGATAGGACAGGGTCCTAATCAGTTAAAGAGGATGCACCCATAGTTGTGTGGTGCAAGATGAGATGATTGCGTACAGCTAGATTATCTCTAAAAAGGAGACTGCGTTTCTGCCAGTATGAATTTCACGTGGGCTGTGGGCTCCCAATCCAGACCACACTGCTATTGTTTATCCAGCTGGTCCACAAGGATATTTTGCCAAATATGCTTTCCTGAGTGTGAGATATACTGCATTTCGAAATACCCTTGATCTACTAAACCAGAGGTCCCCAATCTTTTGGGCACCAGGGACCAGTTCCATGGAGAGAGGGTTTTCCGTGGACCAGAGGGTGTGTGGTTTTGTGTGCTGCTTTGCTTTGCTGCTGCTTTGCTGGCATGCCACAGCCCAGTACTGGTCCACGGCCCGGGGGTTGGGGACCCCTGAACTAAACTGTTATAAAAAGAGTTGCAGATGGTATGATTTGACTTACTCACTGGCTCCTAGCAACAATAATCGAACTCTATAAAAACTCACATACCTATCGCCTTTTCCATCCCCATCCCCATCCTCCATTCTCATCCCCTCCTCTCCTCTCCCTTCCTTCCCTTCCTTCCTTTCTTTTCACCCTTCCTTCTTTCTTCCTCCCCTTCCCCTCCTCTCTTATGCTCTCCCTTTTTTCTCGTCCTTCCTTCCTTCCTTCCACCCTTCCTTCCTTCCACCTTTCCTTCTTTCTTCCTCGCCTTCCCCTCCTCTCTTATGCTCTCCCTTTTTTCCTCATCCTTCCTTCCTTCCTTCCTTCCTTTCTTCCACCCTTCCTTCCTTCCACCCTTCCTTCTTTCTTCCTCGCCTTCCCCTCCTCTCTTATGCTCTCCCTTTTTTCTCGTCCTTCCTTCCTTCCTTCCTTCCTTCCACCCTTCCTTCCTTCCACCCTTCCTTCTTTCTTCCTCGCCTTCCCCTCATCCTCCTGTTTCTCCTCCTCTTCCTCTCCTCCTCCTCCTCCTCCTCCTCCTCCTCCTCCTCCAATCTTGATATCAAACTCATGCTATTTACACGATGACCTTATCATTTGTCTCCTTTGTGGCCATCCACATTGGCCCTCCTTTTAATTAACCCGGATATCTTCCACAAGATCGGAATTCCTGAAGAAGAAGGTTTCTACCTTATTGGGTTTGGATCTTTTTCTTTTGCTAGGAATCTTCAGGAATATCCAGCGAGCACATCTGTAGGACCTCAAGCTCAAGAAAGTTGAAACCCATGTCTGAAACAAAACGTTGGTGGAGCAGAACGAGGAAATTCAGCCACTGGACCATCTTTTATGTCTCATCCATAAGGAGATTTCCACCCACACCCACACCCCAAAATCCCAGGCTATTTTGTAACCAACACCTGTACCTTTGAACCCCGCTGGAGAATATTTGGGAAAACAAAAATGAGGCTTCAAGACGTTATCCCAAGCTGATAACAAGGAGGGGTTTGTGGGGTTTTTTTTTAGGGGGTGGGGTGAATTCAAATGCTATTTGACAGATGGGCTTAATTAGCTATTCCAATGCCAAACCGTAATATTTGCAGTTCATATTCATTCCAAAACACCCTGCTGCTTCTGATAATATTGGTATGTTAATCTTATTACAATAAGGGTTTTGCACTCGGAGCCTTCGCAAACAGAAAGAGTGATATATTTGAAAACAGCGATAAGGATGACGTTTGCGCTGCCTGGCTGTTTTGTCGCTTGTGTGAGCGTCCCTTTAATCTGGGAAATTTCACCTGTGGTAGCAAAACCAGCTTTATTAATGCTGCTTCCCCCCAATCCACTGAAAACCCAGCGATGACACAAAAGCGCGCAAGAGCCTCTAGTTAATTAATGTTGCCCTTTTATAGCTCCGATTTCTTAGCAGATAGAAGAAGATCGAGGTAGGCAGAATTAGAAGGATGTCGAAGCTGAAATGATAAAAGCCAATACTGATTTATTGACGTCGAAACCATAAAAATACAGGTTTTCTTCCAAGGAAACCCATTCTTTCCTCTTTCTGTCACAGGCTCCCCAAACTGAAGGATCTTGAAATGTTTTCTGGGTTGTCAACAGGCAGTCCTCCAGTTATGACGTTAGGGGCGCCCGGAATTTCCATCGTACGTTGCAAAGTGGAGAGCGACCCAATTTTACAACTTCGCTTGTGGTGCTTGTGAAGCAAATACAGGCGTCCCTTAAGAGACCATTGTGGGGTTGTTGAAGCAAATCTGCTTATTTGCAAGAAACTGGATGAAAAAGGTGGAAACCGGCAAAAAAAACACAACACATTATAAATTGGGCTCACGAGATCGTGGAAGGCTGCAACTGGCTGTAAATGGAGTCATGTAACCTTCTGTGTGTGTGTGTGTGTGTGTGTGTGTGTTTGTGTGTCCGTGCACATCTGTGTGCTGCCAGAACCAGATTGTAAGTGGCTTTTGTGGGAGAGGGGCTGTGTCGTAACTTCAAACAGTGACCGGTCATTAAACAAGGACTCCCTGTAGCCTTTCTTCAAGGCAAGACTCATCAAATAATGACCAGTCATAAAAAGAGGACTACCCTTCCTTCAAGGCAGGACTCATGAAATAATGACCGGTCATTAAAAGAGGACTCCCCCATACCCTTTCTTCAAGGCAGCTAATCCAAAGACATCATGAATGGACACGGATGGGTGGACCAGTGAAAGCTCCAAGTTCAGAAGGAACATGGGTCTTGATCCCATCACCGGCCCAAGCTTCCTCATCCAATTGTTCTCTTCAACCTGACCCAAGGGAGCAATCCTGATGTTCTCTTCGATCCAGTGGATTGTAAACGAAAGCCAACACAATTCAGATTCGTTCCGTTTTGTGGTTCATCCGATCCCATCGCGTCCTTGGGAACGTAGGGTCCTCCAAAGCTTCGGGTCCTTCGTTCCAGGACAGGAGAAGATCGGAAAGGGCTCACCACCACCACGGTGTCCGAACGGAATAGCCAGCTTCGGAATGGCTGACTGCTCAAGAGGTAAGTTTCACATCATCCGGGCGGGAGGAGGAAAAAAACGGAGGAGCTATAAATCCACATCTTGAAACGTGGCTTGGAAATTCACTAACAAGATTGACGAGGAAGCATTTTTAATTCCTCCTGGAGACTTCAAGCTACAAACCAAGGATTGCAATTAGCCAGGCATTCATCTTTTGAAGCTCTTAATTTGAAGAAACGGTACAAGGGAATTGGACAAAATTCAAACCATCTTCCCTTTCCCCTCCCCCTCTTAGGAGTGTGTGCGCGTACATACACAGACACACAGACACAAACGCACACACTGCTTTCTCCCCCCACCCCCATTTCCTTTAGCTCAGCATTGCTCAAGCTCAGCATTTTTTTAAGATGTGTGGTGTTCCCCAGGTAGCATGCTGGCTGGGGGATTCTGGGAGTTGAAGTCCACATAACGTATTAGTTGCTGGCTGGGGAATTCTGGGAGATGGTGTCCACACACGTTGCTGGGATTGAGAAATACTGCTTTTGGGGGGATCGAAATGTCGGAAGCAAAGAATGCAACATGAAATCCTTTCTTTCTTTCTTGCGACGTCATTTGTGGCAAGAGATTCCAGAGAGGCCTATGGGTTGTAACAACTAGCAATGGGTACCTCTCAGAACAGGGATGATGACCTTTGGGGACTGTGGGGTCCTCTCTGAGCTTGGCTGTTTCCATGCAGACGTTTCATTACCCAGCTGAGTAACATTATCAGGGCTAGAAGGGAGTGGGGTTGCAGAATGGAGGAGAAAGAGTAGTAGTAGTAATAGTAGGAGAACTGTGATGCTCTCTGAGCTTGGTGGTTTTCTTGTAGACATTTCATTACCAAACTAGGTAACATCATCAATGCTAGAAGGGAGTGGAGTTTGCAGAGAGGAGGAGGAGAGGGGAGTAAGAGGAGGAGGAGGAGGACTGTGGGGTCCTTGGCGCTTGTCGTCAGGGTCACCTGAGTAGTGTAAATGGGTGTGGAGCCTTTTTGGAACCATTTGCACCACTTAGGTGACTCTGAGGACACAGATAAACCTCCAGGTGGTCTCAACGACTCTCTAAAAGGATGCAAATGACCAGCGGTCTGCAAGGAGTATAAATCCTTCCATTTCCCCACCATCCCAGTCAGATGCCGAAGAAGCTTCTTGGAGGAGAAGCGAAACGTCTTCAAAGAAAAAAAACAAGAAAGTGCAGTTGCTTCGTGAAAAAGCACCTTTGGGATACGATCTGGAAATGGTTCGGAAAGAAGCCGCTGGGATCGAAAATCAAGACCTACCTTCTTCCGGCTGTTTTTCTCTGGCAAAATATCACCGCTGGGGAATTCTTCCCCGTAGAATCCACGCTCTTTTGGACTTCCCAGGTGTACGGGTTGCTGGCTCGGATGCCGACCACTCTCACCCCTCTCTTCACCTTTACCCTGGGAGAAAGGAGAGACTATATTAACAACGCGACAGGAAATGCCTTTTCTTTTTCTTGTTTTTCTCTCTTTCAATTGCTCCATCCATCTTTCGCTGTGTTCCTCATTACTGGCCTTTCGAAAGTGCGGGGTCTCTCAAGGCAGACACTCTGCGATATGAAGAAGAAGGGAAAAAAAGGAGAATGTAATAAAAACCAGCTTACCTGTGCAGGGTTTTATCCATCGTTCACTTGAATGAACAGTTTATTTCTCTGCCTGGCGCAGAAAAGACGGAAAGTAGGAGATACAACAAAGAGGCTATAGGAGGTACTATTCTGCAGCTTGGGTTTTAGATTTTTAGCTGTGGTTTGTTCTCCAAGCTTGTTTTAATATAATTCCTGAACATTTCATGACCATTGTCTTCTTTTCTCCCTCCCTCCCTCCCCACCCATTTATCTTCCTTCCTTCCTTCCTCCCTCCCTCCCTTCATTCCCTCCCTTTGTCCTTTCCTTCCTTCTTTCCTCCTTCCTTCCCTTCCCACCCATTTATCTTCCTTTCCTCCCTCCCTCCCTTCCCTCCTTTTGTCCTTTCCTTCCTTCCTTCCTTCTTGCCTTCCTTCCTTCCTTCCCTCCCTGCCCACCCATCCATTTATCTTCCTTCCTTCCTCCCTCCCTCCCTTCATTCCTTCCCTCCCTTTGTTCTTTCCTTCCTTCCTTCCTTTTCTCGCTCCCTCCATCCCTCCCCACCCATCCATTTATCTTCCTTCCTTCGTTCCTTCCTTCCTTCCTTCCTTCCTTCCTTCCTTCCTTCCTTCTTCCTTCCCTCCCGACTCATTTATCTTCCTTCCTTCCTTCCCTCCCCACCCATCCATTTATCTTCCTTCCTTCCTGCCTTCCTCCTTCCTTTCCTCCCTCCCCACCCATCCATTTATCTTTCTTCCTTCCTTCTTCCCTCCCTTCATTCCTTCCCTCCCTTTGTTCTTTCCTTCCCCCCTTCCTTTTCTCCCTCCCTCCCTCCCTCCCCACCCATGCATTTATCTTCCTTCCTTCCTTCCTTCTTTCCTTCCTTCTTCCTTCCCTCCCGACCCATTTATCTTCCTCCCTTCCTTCCTCCCTCCCTCCCCATCCATTTTCCTTCCTTCCTTCCTCTCTCTTTCTCCAAGCTTAGTTGTTTCCTTGCTGACATTTCGCTGCCCAACTAGGTAACATCATCAGTGCTAGGAGGGAGTGGGCTTTGCTTTTTGCTTATAGGCAAGTGGCTTGGCCTTTCAGTGTTGGTGGGAGTCTCCTTGGTGATTCCTTGATTAGGCTCAGAGAGCACCAAAGGACCCTACATGTTCAAATCAACATGGCTAGCCAGTCGACCCTTTTTTTCAATGTAATTTCAAATGGTCGCTAAACGCATGGTTATAAGGCAAGGACTAATGTGTACGAGTATTGTTTTTTGAAGTAAACACCCTGGAAAACAGTTGAATTGTCAGGATTGAGACTCATCCTAAAACCTACATCTACGACTGCTAGGAAAACTGAAGTTGCACCGCCAAGAATCATGGTTTTGTACTAACAATGCCCGTTCCACCAAATGCCATGTTTACGGGGGTGCTAAGAAGGCTTCAGACTGTGCCGTTTAAAAAAATGCAAGCTTTTATTAATCTATTTATTCCCTATGCCTGTTTTAAGAGCTGCCCGTGGCTTTGTCCCAGGATTTCGTAGTTTACAACCAGTTTACACGCAAGCTCCCGGCCCATCATTACTGCAGGCTGGTAATGGCTGCGAAATTGTCACTTAAGTGTTGTGAAAAGTGGAACAGCTGGGTGGCAAAAGACAAAAGAGTGCAGAAACATCACTAAGGGCCAGTTGTGTTCTCAGCTGAATTCACCTGTCTGCTTTTCTAGCCATCAGAGATTCTGGTTTGTTTTTCCTTTTTTAAAAAAAAGAACGATTTGACTTGACTTTCTTTTGAAAATTATTTCGGCGGGGGAGCAGGCGAGAAGATCAAAGCAGCTGGAGGAGACGGAGAAATAGCTTGAAGAACGCGCTGAGGTTTTATCCACTTCCATTTCCACCCAAATCTCGCCAAAGCCCACGACAAAGGCCTCCGATTCTACCGTTCGAACAGATTCAGAAAGTCAACTGAATTTGATCCGATTATTTGAATTCGGAAACCTAATTTGGGGGAAAGCCCATCAAGCAAAAGAAGCAAACCGGTCGGACAGATTCAGACCGGTTTAATGAACCATATCAATCCATCAATTCATTTTTGGCCAAATCAGTTTGACATTCCAGATGAGCCCGGTGAATCTAAATGAATTCAGAGCATCAGTGTCACCAGGGCTCGTTGCTTGTTCCTTGTCTGCAAAAGCCAGCATTGGAGAAGATTGAGAGGCTTACTAATCTCTTATATCATCTTTTGTATCACCACGTATAAAAAAGATGCAGAGGGCCTAGAACAGTGATGGCAAACCTTTTAGAGACAGAGTGCCCAGACTGCAACCCAAAACCCACTTATGAACGCCGGGTACCGGGTGGGTGTGGCCTACTAGGTGGGCGCAACTACAGTGGGCTTGGCAGACTGGGTGGGCATGGCCACTGGATGGGTGTGGCTGCAGTAGTCATGGCAGATTGGGTGGGCATGGCCAGGGTAGGTGTGGCCACCTCAATGTTGCTTATGGGGAGGAACACCTGTGGGAGTCGGATTGGGAGAGATCCAGGGGGTCTCTGGCGGGTTGGATGGTGGGCTCCCCAATGGCGGCTCCAGGCTGGATGGCCTTAGGCCAGTGATGGCGAACTTTTAGAGACCACGTGTGCTGGGGCGATGGCGTGTGCCCACAGAGAGGGCTCTGCATGCCACCTCTGGCACGCGTACCATAGGCTCACCACCACTGGCCTAGAAAGAGTGCAGAGAAGAGCAACAAAAATGGTCAAGGCTCTGGAGGCTAAATCATATGATGAATAGTTGAGGGAACTAGGTATGTCTAGTCTAAAGAAGAGAAGAGCTAGGGGTAACATGATAGCAGTCTTTCAGTATCTCAGGGGCTGTCCCAAAGAAGAGGGAGTCAAGCTGTTCTCCAAAGCACCTGAGGGCAGGACAAGAAGGAATGGATGGAAACTAATCAAGGAGAGAAGCAACCTAGATCTAAGGAGAAATTTCCTGACATTGCAACATCCCCATGGTCATGTGATCAACATTCAAATGCTTGGCAACTGACCGGTATTTATGATGGTTGCCATGTCCTGGGATGGCGCGACCCCCTTTTGCGACCTCTCAACAAGCCAAGTCAATGGAGGAAGCCAGATCCACTTAACAGCCCTATCACAAACTTAACAACTGTAGTGATTCGCTTAACAACCCCGACAAGGAAAGTCGTAAAACGAGGCAAAGTTCGCTTAACAAATGTTCCGCTTCGCAAGAGAAATTTTTGGCTCAAATTGTGGCCATTAAGTAGAGGACTAGCTGTAGTTAGAGACCAAGGAGGAGGATAGGTTAAGTAGGGCTGGGCTCAAGGGTCAAGCTTTTAGGATCCAACTAAAGAAGGTAACATAAGCTTTGAAGGACAAAATTCCACTCTGGGTGTGTTCAAAACCTGATGTCAACGCTGCTAACATCGGATGTTCTTGCTTTGACAACATATGGAGATGCAGCCTTTTTCGTCCTTATGCTTTACTCTTAGAATTAGATGATATTGGAGGAGGAAGAGGAATGTGATGGGAGTTAGTTAGACATAACAATATGGTAATAGTGTGTGAATTCAGGGCTTTTGAAATAAGAGATGATAAGGAATGGCGGATTGGAGAACAGGAGGGAAAGCCTGCATTTCAAACTAATTGGAGATTGTGATTTATGACTGTTAATTAGAGGAGGGAATTGGGTTTGATACTGTGTACTAAGGGGAGGGGAATCCAGATTTTGGCTATGCCACTCCAATAAAGATTCTTCAAGGTAAACAATGCCTCGAAGTTCTTTGAAGAGTTTCATCAGTCGGAACCATGACACCTATGGATTTCTACGACAAAAGGATGTTTATCCCAGAACAGGAGGTGGAAATGAACAGATCTCAGCTCTGGGATGGATTATATCTTGATTTTGATTCCCAAACTCTTCTTTAGACAGTCTTATCGGCTTTATTCATTGCAAATCAAAATGGAAAACAACCCAGAGTCCCTCATTCTCCTGGCAGATTCCATCTTATTTTGCAAGAGAGTGGCCTAGCAAAATATAAGCTATTTAAAACTGCATAATGTACCCTC